ATAATATAATATAATATAATATAATATAATATAATATAATATAATAATATAATAAATATAATATAATATAATATAATATAATATTACATTACATTACATTATTATATTATTTGATCCTTTTTTATTGTTTTCGGTTTGTTGTTTTAAATGATGTTTTATATTCTGTAAGCCGCCTTGAGTTGCCATGTGCAAATAGGCAGCAATATAAATTCAATAATTAAAAAATAATTAAAAATAAACTCAATTGGGAAGGAAACAGGAATTGCAAATGTTGCAGTTATGTAACATGCTCAGCAACTGCAGGTGAGTTGCTTAATGATAGCAGGTGGAACTGATGTAAGTTAGCACGCCACGTGGCATTTCACTTTGACCATGTTGTTTAAGCAATGGAGTTTACAGTCCTAAACGTGGTTGGTAAGTAAGGACTACTTATATAGGATGTGGGTCCATTCTCTCACAATTTTATGCATAGTTAATTATTTCTAGAAGTTGTTTATACTTGTTTTTAACATTTGTTTTATTGTAGACTTCCCAAGATCACATTTGTGAGATGGGCAGCTATATAAATTCGATTAGTCGAGAGGTTGGAGTTATAATTAACCAGAGACAATGCTATTTTGCCTAACTTTCTAAGATACAGATTGGTCGAAACTAAATAACAGCCTTCCTTTAGTTTTTGAAGGATTTGGAAAAGGCAATGAGCTCAATTTTTTTCAGTGGGGACAAAATAGCTGTTACTCCTCCTATAATTAAAGCATAACACTCCTCATTTGTGCTAATTCAGATTTGTATTTTTATATAGTATGCAGATCATTCAGGATTTAGTTTAAGGAGTGCAGAAACCAGCTGGCTTTATCTCTTAAGCCATTACCTTTACTTTATCTGGTTGATGGAGCTTCGCTTTTTAAAAACAGAAATCAAAGATCCCATAAAACTGAATTCTGTTTTACAGTATGGCAATAGTTCAAAAGATAAGTTGTACCTTGTATTTCTTCATAGTTTAGAATTGAAGTGTCTTTTGACCCTGATTGGCAAGAGTGAAGAAAACAAGAGTTATAGCTGGAAGCAGAAATTAAAGGCTTTTGAAAAAGCATAATTTGAAGGAAGACATGCAATTACACTACCATATTGAAGAATGAAACCTGATTAAAGCAATCTTTCAGATGGCAAATGAACCATAACATTTAAACTGATTGACTCCACTTCATTTAGTAGCTTCTGCTATTTGTCTTTCTTTGCCATTTTTCTAAGACAACAAGTTGAAACCATCAAATTGTCACACCTGCACAAACAGGTCACATATATTTTTCAAAAACTGCTTGTTAAATTCATGAGTAAATGCTAGCCGTATTTGAATTTTAGATGATTTGGTTTGATTAAGTATTCATATTTATTTGTTTACCATATATAAACCCTGCTTTCTCCCAGTAAAACCAGGTTTCTAATTAATCTTGTAAGACAACATAAGCAATAAAATCTGACAATTACAAAAATACAGATCTCCATAAAATATAAAATTCATAAGCAACAATAATAAAACAACAGCAAGAAAAAAATCCAAAGGCACCAATTGTAAAACCAGAATCCTAACAGGAGTCATTTGAGTATAAAAATAAGTGTTTAATCTCTTCCTGAAACAGAGATGAGAAGAACTGAACTGCATTTCAAGGGAAAGGGAATTCTATCAAGAAGTATTCTTACTTTTGTATATTCCAACAGACTCAAGATCAGATTTCATAGTAGTAACTCCTTTGAAGAAGTCTGGAACTCCTGATTTGTAGTATGGAGAAAATAGGTTCAAATAGATAAGACTAAATCCATGGGATAGTGCAACTATTATAAATATATGCCAGTTGCCAAACACAGGAATTTTGATCATGTGACCATGGAGATACTACAACAATCATAAGTGTGAGCACTGGTCATAAGCCATTTACAGTGCCATTCTAATGGTCCCTAAACATATGGTTGTAAGTCAAGGACTCCCTGTAGAATCTTAGTGATTCAACCATTGTAAGTAGTTAATAAGGATATTGTGGTTCTGTGTTGGAAGCACCCAAATGCTTCCGTGGAAAGGATTTACCAGTTGCCCGGGGGACGCCCAGTTGGGAGTGCCTTTCATGTTTCCAAGAAATTATTCACCAAAGTGGTACCTATTTATCGGCATGTGGTCGCCCACTTTCGAACTGTTAGATTGGCAGGAGCTGGAGCATGTAACGGGAGCTCACCCCACTCAGCAGCAGCAACAGGTCTTGAACTCAAGGCTGCCAATCATTAGCCTAGCATTCTAACCTCATCAGCCACCATGTCCCCTTGAGAGTATAGTACTAAAGACTTTTGAGAGATCTAGAGGACAGGGATGGTAACATTTCCCATAAACCCCACCACATACTATTCATTAGAGCAGTAATTGTGCTGTATCTAGATCCAGATCTGAATCCTGACAGAGGGTTATGTGTGTGTTTGTGTGTGTATCCAGACAATCTGCTTTTCCCAAGGTTGTTTGTAATTACCATCCCACTAGCTTCTCTACCATCTTCCTGCAAAAGAGAAGGTTGATGATAGGGCAACAAGAATCCCAAACTGCTGAGTCCTTGAGAAGTAAGGGATGAAGGTAAGTACTTTCTCCAAGACAGCTGGGATTTTCTTTCTGCAATAAAGCAATGGCTGTTTCAAGGCCCTAGTTTTTTGCCTCTTCCTCAATAGCCTGTACTTACCAAGTGGGACACAAATGAAGCTCCAAGTGGCAAACTGGCATCTACATTTTTTTTTCTTTTTACTCTTACAACAGGAACATTTCTCTGAATCAGAAATGGGTTTTTGTGCAACAATTCCGAGCTTTAACAAGCGCTGCCCGAATGGCTGTGTTCTTGCACAACAGATTTACCCTTGATTTAATTTAACCGTGATTTATTCAATTAAGTTAATTTCCGAAGGTTCCCCGTACGGCCGGTAAACCATAAATTAATCACACGGTCGGCTTCACACAACCCCCTGAAACGTGACTCGCTGGCGTGTGTCAGACGAACGCCAGCCTGCCTCAGCCATTGGCTCGGGCGGATCTTGAGCTTCTACCGCAAAGCAAAGTAGATCTGACGTCCGACTGCGTCCTAGGCCTCGGCAGAAGGAATCGAGGTCCTCGCCTCGGCGCGGAGTCCTCCGCTTCTCTAGAGGCCACTGCTGGGTTGGGCGCCAGAGACCGTCGAGATCAGCGGCTCCACCCCGGCCGGAGAGCTGCTGACTGACCCCACCCATCAGCGGCTGCTGAGCGACTGAAGCGAGGCGAGCTCAAGACCCCGGCGGCTGTAGCGGCAAGGCCGGATCGTTCCGGGGGGGAAGAGTAAAGGCGCTGGGCCTGGCTGCGCTGAACGATCGGGGCCGGGAGTCGAAGGCAGGATGCTGGCGCTCTTCACGAAGCTGCTGGACTGGTTCCGGGCGCTCTTCTGGAAGGAGGAGATGGAGCTGACTCTGGTGGGGCTGCAGTACTCGGGCAAGACCACCTTCGTCAACGTGATCGCGGTAAGATGCCGGGTGGCGAGCATCACGGCGGGGGCCGGTGGAGGGTGGGGTGGGGGTAGCACCGAGCATTCTTCTCCGGGCCGGTGCCGTCCAGATGTGCCTAGGTGTAATGGGACTACCGCTCCCAAGATTGCCAGCTAGGCCTTCGGATGCCTTGGCTCACAGTGCTGGTGCCGTGATCCCGGGGAGTGTTGGGTGGGCACCACGTTGGGGAACGTCGGCCCCGATGAAGGCGCTGCCACCTTCTCATGCTTGAGCATCTCTCAGCCTTAAAGGCCTTCCTCCGCCCAGGGAAAGATAAAAGCCCCCTCCCTCCTCCATCAGCAGACCCTATTCTTTCAAGGAAAGCCATCTACCCACTTCTCTAATAAGGGGACATTGCTGCTTTCCTTTCCTCTTCTTCCCAGTGATGAAATCCTCCCTTTTTCTGCAAAAAAAAAGGGTAGTTGCTCTCCTTTCACACTATTTTGCCCTTCCACGATATCAGTGGAAATAGCGTATTCAACATGAGCAAAGCCTTTCAGGTCACATTATCCACTACCCCACCCACTGTCTCAGATGGTGGTCCTGAGATGCGAAAGAGATCACAAAAAGGAAAAACAAATGTTGCGTTTTGTTTTTAAATTATCCTAATGTATCCTAATACTTCAGTTCTTAATGTCCCCTCTGCATTTGATTGGTTTGATAGTCTTCTTGCTTTTGTGGTGCCTGAAATGTATGTTTGAGTAGATCCTGGAGGGGGTGGGGTGGTGGCAGAAGGATGCTGTTTCATCTTCTGTGGTGAATGGTAATTTTATCTCCCATCTTTCCCAATCAATATGTCAGTTAACACTATGTATGTGCCATGCATCTGTGTGTGAGTGATCTTTTATTTTAAGTGAATTTAACATTACAGTAGGATTTGCTGTTGAAATATCTTGGAGGAATACATTTTAAGAGGCTGCTTTGAGGAACGATAACTGTACAGTTGCAGAAAATATCCTTACTCTGGCTATTTTGACTTCGTCTGCCTTGCAGGTTTTTTCTCTCCTGCCTCCCTCCTATGCATCTGCAGTAATGGCTTCAAAGTATGCATTTATGGAAAGGGCCAAGGAAGACATTAGAGAGCATATGGGATGGAGAACATTGACCATTGGGAATACTGATAGCAATCCAAAGCTTTCCGTCTTCAGGGCCTCCCATGTAGCTGGCCCTGCATATTTATTCCTTCATATTTATACTGTTGTCTTGTCAGTTGTAAAACTGAACTTCTTCGATCTTATCCTCTTCCTGGGAAGAAAACTAAAGCATGGATCAGATCAAATTCATGTAGCAGCTTCTCTGAATACTGAGCATTTTAGTTGGTAGAAAACAGTAGGCATGAAGATTGCATATTTTCCTACTATATTTTCCCATTACTGTAGTTTTAATGGAGCCATTTTAAGATGCAGTAGTAGAGACAAGCTTTCTTTATTTAAAAAAAATCATGACTGGCATTTTTGTGTTTTGGGGCAGAATATTTTAACTTATATTGTAAATAATTTATTGTAGCTAATACTGGAAACTCAAATTTAACATGTTTCTAAATTAAAAGGTATATTTTCAGATACTTTATTTTGAATAAAATCTGTGCTCTAGAGTTTATGCTAACTGGTATTCTCTCTTTTGTTACTGCTTTGTTTGTTCTGGAAATTTGTAGTTATTGCTACATAATTTCCCAAGATGTTCGATGTTGTTTTCTGAATACTGGAGATCTGAGTGAATAAATTGATAATATGCTAAATAGGAAAATCTGTGAAACATGATGTGCTTTGTTACTGCTCACTGATTCAGCACTGGCTATTGGACAAACCACGGATATTGCAAATAATTAGTGAGGGTCCCTGCCATTTCTTGTACCTGCATTTTCTAATGTGCTTGATATTAATTTTCTTTCCTACACTATCCGAGGCATTAAAAATCTTTTCTTTGAATTAAGTTGTAATTCTTGGTGACTTCATGAATATGTTTTTGTAATTTTCTTGTCAATCATATAGAGATGGCTTGCCATTACAATACTTTCTTGAAGTAGTTTCTTGATTATTCAATCTACCCTAAAGATCTGGGATTTTCTGATAATGTACCATCCAAGTATTTTGATTATCAAGTTGGATAAGTAATACTATCTAGCTGACACCTTTGGATAAGTAAAATAATCATCTCCTTTTATCTATAAGATAATGAAGAGAAAGAGACAAGTAGTCCTTGACTTAGGACACATTGTTTTATGACTATTCTGAGTTATGACGGCCTTGGAATAGTACTTTACAGCTTGTAAAGTACTTCTGCCCTTCATAAAATGTCACATACCCACATGCACAATTATGTGACCAGATTTTTGGCACTTTAATTGGCTCACCTTTAGGACTGGCCGTGATTTTCATCGCTTTTTGCCAATTTCTGGCAAAAAACCTCCACCCATTCAAGACAATGGATTTGTTTAACAATCACAGTTTACTTAATGACCATGCTAACTACTGTTGTTATTTGTTTAACGACTGCCCAATGTGGGTGTCTTAATTTAGGACTGCAAAACAACTTACGATTTCCAGTCCCAATTGTGGTTGTAAATTGAACATCTTAGTGGATCTTAGAATAATCTTAGTGATTATTCTTGGTGTAACCAAGTGAATTTTTCTGCCCATTAGTGGTTTGATTTAAAGATAGTGAAACATATTTCCAGGCCTTGTTTGAGCAAAGTCTTTTACTGTCAAGATAAATCCTTTCTAACCTGTTCCTGCAACTTGTCAATTCTTAATGTTTTTCCCAGTTATATCAAAGTCAATTCTTAATATTTCCCCAAAACACTTTCTTCTTTTCAACCAGTTAAATTTGGTTATTATGAACCAAGACTTTATCAGTTGGTATTCTGAAATCCTACAATTTTTTAACCTTCTCATTTTTAACCAGTTTTTCAACTCTGTGTTCCCACCAATTTCTCATTACTGCCACGTAATACTTTTTACATATGTTTTACATATATTCCAGTGAATCATTTTGACTATTTTATTTTGTTCATTACACTCAATTTGTATGATCTTCTTGCATGAACTGAGTTCATGATCTATTGTTTCTTCTGCTTCTTTGCACAATCTTCACTTTGAATCATTTGATTATTTTTCAATTCCAACCTATTTTATTCTCCCCTTTCTAATGTACAATTTAAGGCAGAGAACATATTTAATACTCCTGCCTCCTATTTTTGCATATAATAATTCTGTGAGCTAGCTTGGGCTGAGAGAGTGACTTATCAGACAAGATCTCTAATATATATATAGCCCTCCATGGTAGTGGATCTGAGTACTTGAGAGACTGCCTCCTGCCAATTACCTCCTCACGACCTATTAGATCACACAGATTAGGCTTCCTCCGAGTTCCGTCCGCCAGTCAGTGTCGACTGGCAACTATGCGGAGGAGAGCCTTTTCAGTAGTAG